CGGACCCGGCATTCCCGCCGCTGACTGGCCGCCGACATCGCCGCCCCTTTGCTCCAGGTACTGCAGCTCCCGCTCCCGCCCCCGCCCACCAACACCCCCACACTGCTTCTCCAATAGCCAATCTGAGTATTCCCTGCAGTTCTCATTGCTGAACCCTTGGGAGTTCTTTCAGTAACAACCCATGGGGATTCTTTCAGTGCTGTGTTCAATATTCAGATAAATTTCAAGTACTTGCCCAATATTTAGACAACTTGTTTTTGACTCTAAACTTGACTCTGAAAGCACAATGTACTACTACTACATGCCTGGTGTCTACAAATGTTCTTTCTCGTGATATTTTGTTACCCAAAATATTGTTTTGTCCGAGTCAAAAGATACAAAATGCAGCTCAGTTCATTGGATGATATACAAGAAACCAACAACTTAGTTTTATCTTTATCATTACCTTCCCACCGCCCTGAGCTGCAGGTAGCGCTAATACTCCCATCCCATTCCAGATTAACTTTCTGATCTTTTCACCCAGCAAGAAAAGAATCTGTCGCAGAAAATGCGTGTGACAGAGGAGTTGAAACTTGTTGGCTTTCGCCCAAGAATCAACCTCACTCACACATCAGAAACAGAGCAAATTTGGGGCAATTTTTTCTCTACCCTTTTCTTCAAGTCCAAGGATTATCACAAGGCTTAGTTTTATGGAGTACCCACATGATACGTAGAGACTAATAAGTGCTCAACTTTATAAATACGACTTGTCTTGGATTCTAATTCAACCGGCAATGCGAACATTGCCTTGACCCAAACACAAGCATCCAAACGCTACAAGAAATATATTAAGTTATTAACTAATTTGGCAGGACTCCTAGATGCAGCGTAATAATACTTCCTATGATGTGAGCCACAGACAACATGGTTATTCAAATCACATGTTCTTCCTCCTGATGCGCGCGCTTCTTCCTTCCCACAGTAAGTTGTGGTTCTTGCATCTTACAGCTTACCATGTAGTTGTAGTAGGGAGGTATGCGAGACCTCCATCCAAGGGCCTCAAATTGCCCACGTGGTAGTGTACCACCATGTCCTAAGATGATGTCCTGCACACTGATCTTCGGGACTTCCTCACTGGAACCTAACTGACAAGTGTTGCAAACCAAGAAATATTTTCTGCTGCTCGCCAATCTCCAACCATACACCGGTGCATCTTCCCGCATACGAAGGTATGGGTGCTGGCCAAACATAAGGAGATGTGTCTGTTTAAATGCTCTCACACAATCAAGAATTGTGCTCCAGAATTGAGCATTGAAGTTATCTCGCAGCATCCCAGCAATGATATGCGCGCTTGCGAAACACTGTTTGTGTTCCAAAGCGATCTCCATGGCCATCGATGCCAGTTTTGGCTGTTCATCAGGGCTTCTGCTTCCGAATGCAAGCGACTTGAAAAAATGCCAATAAGCTTCCTGAGAGAGATAGTCCAGTCGAAGTGCTTCTGTTGTTCCCAGATTCACTACTCTATCCGAGCGACTGGTGATTATGATTTTGCAGCCACCGCAAGGTGTGATGAAGGTTGCGGAAGATTTCAGGCTTCTCAGTGTTTCCTCGCTAATGCCCTCGGCTATTTCAACAATAATCAGCAACCTGTTTTGAGAAGCAAAATTCTCATGTCTGACTAGACTATTCATAATGTTCCCTTTCAGGTCGACCACTCCTTCATCCTTGAGACTGCCTTCTGGAAAGAACATGATCATGGAGAAGCCATCACGCACACTCTCATCCCTACAGATGTACTCAACAAGGGTGCTCTTCCCTACTCTTCTTGGACCAATGATCGGAAGTACAGCCAAGTCTGAAGTAGCACTGGGACAAAGCAAGAAATTCAGGACCCGCTCCCGTTCCGTTTGGCGACCAAACATGCAATTGTCCAATACCAAATATGTGCCATAAGGTTGGTGGTGTATCCGGGGATATGACTCCAAGAAGAAAATAAACTCCTTCATGCCAGACACGGTCTCTTCAAGGGTATCAACCATCCGTTGCAGCTCTTCCCTCATGTTGCTGTTTGTGCCAAACAACAGCGCTTCTCTGTTGCTGCTGCCACTGCCGGCACGAGAGAAACAGAGCCGTTTGGCTGGACTATATTTACAGAGCGCAGATGATGAGTGGCTTACCTCCTCGTCGAGGGCCGCTTGGAATCTCAAGGCATCAAGAACATAGCGGCCTCTGTACATTCCTTGCCTCAACATCTTGAGCTGACGGAGCATCCCCTGGTTGGTGATGTCCCGCGCTTCGGCCTCCTCGGCGATGATGTCGATTCTCAGTAGGACTCTCTGTAGCCTCTGTTGAATCTTGTTGAGGTCAGGCTGCTGCTGGAAGTATTTGCTGATCATGAACGATGCAGACCTGCTGATGAAGTCACCTACGATTGCAGAGACGAGGATATCCATTGATTGCAAACCACCTTGACTCAGAGCTCAAGTGGTGCAATGGAAGAGGGATAAAATTAGCAGTGAGTGACACTAGCTACTTGGGCGTCAAGCCATGGGGGTGTTGCTCAATTTTGACTCAAGACCGAGCCACCAGGGTAGGTGTTGTGGATGGAAGATTTCAAGGTTAACCATGGCAAAGTAGTGTGAGTCACTGAGGCTACTGCTGGATATTATATGCTGTGGTGGTGCCCTGGTAAATTTTTGAGCGAGTCTTGGGCTGCCATGTGAATTGAGTCTGACTTGACTCGTTGCAAAACTATGCCAAAACAACACTGCTTTTGTTTCCTTCCTTTACATTTATCTTATTTTATACCTCTGGGGCATCTGCATCTAGATGATAGATGATGCACACAAGCATAATTTATTACTCCCTCCGTTCCTAAATATTTGTCTTTCTAGAGATTTCAACAAGTGACTACATATGGAGCAAAATGAGTAAATCTACACTCTAAAATATGTCTATATACATCCGTATGTGGTAGTCCATTTAAAATCTCTAAAAAGACAAATATTTAGGAACGCAGGGAGTACAAGTCAAGATGTCACATCAGAACTAACTAACTGGTGCCCTTTTTCCTTGTAGAAATTTCTTCTTGACAGGTTATACAAGTTGGACTTAATTTGGGTAGACTGTTCTACAAAGAGTGCTGGTTTAGTCAAAAACCATAAATGAGACATGAGAAAAACCATACCGTTTATTGACCGGAGGGTTGAATTTTGATAAAAGACTCAGAAATGGGTGGCAAGACAGTCTACAAGGGATTTTGGCCTTTGGCTCCAGGAATAGTTGAATTTGCTTTGGTTTCTACTGTTCAGTGAGAGAAATATCGTCAGATACCAGTTCTCCTTTTACCGCTGATAGTAGTATATTTTTTTTTTTGCCAGGACACTTATACTGTAGTTAGCAGTAACTTGGTAACTAAACCGAGTTAACGACAACAGCAGCAAACTCAGAGGTCCGTTAACCCCATCCATTCTTTCTTTCCGTTAACTGAATCTGCACCTGCACCTTCAGTTTCAGGTGTTGATATATTCAGATTAGGGACAATTCCATTTCTCCCCCTAACTTGAGCCACCACCTGGCATTTGCCCCTAATTTTGAGGTATGCTAAAAAATACCCCTCTTCCGTCAATTCACCTTATAGAAATGCCATTGCCGTCCGGTCAAAGGGCTTTGACCATCTGGTGAATAGTAACATGGTGAACAGTAAATTCGAAAAAAATAGCAAAAATATCAAAAAAATCTGAAATTTTGTGGGATCGAAGATACTCAAGGGCGCAAGGTGCATGCAAATTTTCCTGCTATTTGGACATTCCAGGAACTCGTGGCAAAGGAAAAAAATATAAATCTATACGCTATGAACAGTAAATTCAAAAACAATAGCAAGAAAATTTTAAAAAATATGAATTTGTTTGGCATCAAAGAGGCTTGGGTGCGCAAGGTGCTTGCAAATTTTTGTGATCAGATGACATGCGAGGTGCTCTAGCAAAAAAAAAACAAAACAGTGCATTTTTTTCAAAGTTTTTTTCTGTGCCAGATTTTGTTTTTTTCTCCACGAGCTCCTACAGTGTCGAAACACAACAAAAATTTGCACGCACCCCAGCCTCTTTGATGCCAAAAAATTTCATATTTTTTTGAATTTTCTAGCTATGTTTTTTGAATTTACTGTTCACAGCGTGCATTTTAAAGTTTTTCCTTTGACACGAGCTGCTGGAATGTCCAAACTACGCGAAAATTTGCAAGCACCTTGATCCCTTGAGTATCTTCGATCCCACAAAATTTCAGATTTTTTTGATTTTTTTGCGAATTTACTGTTCACCATGTTACTATTCACCAGACGGTCAAAGCCCTTTGACCGGACGGTAACGACACAGAAGGGCATTTCTGTAAGGTGACTTGACGGAAGAGGGGTATTTTTGAGCATAACTGAAAATTAGGGGCAAACGCCAAGTGGTGGCTCAAGTTAGGGGGAGAAATGGAATTGTCCCTTCAGATTAGCGGGAGCTGCACCACCTGGCCTCCAGGTAATGCCACTACTCCTGATCCAGCTTATCTTTCTGATCTTTAAATCCAGCAAGAAAGGAATCTGTCACAAAAAAATAAATGTGACAGAGGAATTGAAACATATTGGCCTTTTGCCCAAGGATCAAACACACGCGTACATGGGAAACAGAGCAAATTTGATGCACTTTTCCTTACTCTTTTCTTCATGCCCAAAGATCAATACATGTGTGATAGCAAGGCTTAAGTTTATAGGTTATACATAGTATCCTGATCACTAGGATACAGACTCAAGCACTCAACTTTATAAATACATTTTGTCTTGGACTCTGATTTAACCGGAATGCTAACACTGTATTGAATCTGAAAGTACAGACTTATGCTACGAGGATAGAAGTCCGGCATGCCTACATGTAATAGACATATATGTTAACTAACTTGGCAAGACTCCTGAGTAATAATATTTCCTAATTCACAGGACAACATGGTAGTATACATGATATGAGTCACAGACAGTGTGCTATTCAAACAAAATGTTCTTCCTCTTGACGCACACGCTTCTTCCTTCCTACTGTAAGTTGTGGTGCTTGCATCTTACAGCTTACCCTGTAGTTGTAGTAGGGCGGTATGCGCGACTTCCATGCAAGAGCCTCAAATTCTCCACAGGGTAGTTTACCACCAGATCCTAAGACGATGTCCCTCAGATTGATCTTAGGGACATTCTCACTGGAATCTGACTGATGATAGTTGTGAATCAAGAAATATCTGCAGCTCTTCACCAATCTCCAACAATACACTGGTGCATCTTCCCGTAAACGAAGGTTTGGGTGCTGGCCAAACATATTGAGATTTGTCTGTCTACTTTCTCTTACACATTCAAGAACTGTGCACCAGAATCGAGCATTAAAGTTATGTCGCAATATCCCAGAAGCGATATGCGCGCTTGTGAAACCCTGTCGCAGTTCCAAAGCGATCTCCATGGCCATTGTTGCTAGTTTTGGCTGCTCATCAGGGTTTGTGCTTCTGAACACAAGTGACTTGAAAAAATGCCAGTAAGCTTCTGGAGGGAGAAAGTCCAGTCGAAGTGCTTCCGTTGTTCCCAGATTCACAATTCTATCTGATCGACTGGTTATTATAATTTTGCTCCCACCACACGGTGTCATGCCGGTTGTGGAGGATTTCAGCCTTCTCCATGTTCCTTCATTAATATCCTCAGCTATTTCAACAATAATCAGCAACCTGGTCTGAGAAGCAGAGTTTCGATATCTTACTAGACCATTAATATTGTTTCTTTTCAGGTCAACCACCCCTTCATCCCTGAGACTACCTTGTGGAAAGAACAGGATCATCGAGAAGTGACTGCGCACACTCTCATCCCTACAGACATGTTCAACAAGGGTGCTCTTCCCTACTCTTATTGGACCAACAATCGGAAGTACAGCCAAGTCTGATGTAGCACCAGGACTAAGCAAGAAATTCAGAACCTGTTCCCGTTCCATTTGGCGACCAAACATGCAGTTGTCCAATAGCAAATACATACCATAAGGTTGGCGGAGGATCCGAGGATACAGCTCCATGAAGAAAAGAAACTCCTTCATACCAGCCACGGTGTCTTCAAGGGTATCAACCATCCGTTGCAGCTCGTCTTGTATGTTGTTGTTTGTGCCAAACAACAGTGCTTCTCTGTTGCTGCTGCTGCTGCCACTGCGGGTGCGAGAGAAACGAAGGCATTTGGTTGGACTGGATTTGGACAGTGCAGATGACGAGTGGCTCATCTCCTCCTCGCCGCGGGCGGCTTGGAATCGCAAGGCATCGAGAACATAGTGGCCTCTGTACATTCCTTGCCTCAACATCTTGAGCTGACGGAGCATCCCCTGGTTGGTGATGTGCCGTGCCTCGGCCTCCTCGACGAAGATATCGATTCTCAGTAGGACACTCCATAGCCTCTGTAGAATCTTATTGATGTCAGGCTGCTGCTGGAAGTATCTGCTAATCACGAACGATGCAGACCTGCTGATGAGGTCACCCACGATTGCAGAGACGAGGATATCCATTGATTGCGAACCACCTTGACTCAGAGCTCAAGTGGAGCAATGGAAGAGGGATAAAATTAACAGTGAGTGATACTAGCTACTTGGGCGTCAATCCATGGGGGGTTGCTCAATTTCGACTCAAGACTTGTTAAGGCTTGGTAGGTTTTAAAGTTTTAAATGTTATATATATATTTTGAAATAAATAATGGAGCACCAATCTAATGCAATAAGATGATCAAACAGAGCGAGTCTTAGGCTGCTATATATATGATGGTGGTGGCGCCCTGCTAATTTTTGAGCGAGTCTTAGGCTGCGCAATTGAGTCTGACTTGACTCGTTGCAAATCTATGCCAAAACAACACTACTTTGTTTCCTTCCTTTACTTTTATCTTATTTTATACCTCTGGGCATCTGCATCCAGACGATAGATGATGCACACAAGCATAATTTATTACAGGTCAAGATGTCACATCAGAACTAACTGGTGCCCATTTTCCTTGTAGGAATTTCTCCTTGACGTGTTATACAAGTTGGGCTTGATTTGGGCAGACTGTTCTACAAGGAGTGGTGGTGGAGTGAAAAACCATAAATGAGGCGCGGAAGAGAAAAACCATGCCGTTTGCTGACCGGGTGGGTTGAATTTTGACATAAGAGTGAGAAATGAATGGCAAGGCAGTCTAGAAGGGATTTTGGCCTTTGGCTCTAGGAATAGTTGAATTTGCTTTGGTTTCTACTGTTCAGTGAGAAATATCGGCAGATACCAGTTCTGCTTTTACTGCAGTTAGCAGTTTTTTTTTTTTTTGCCAGAACACTCATACTGCAGTTAGCAGTAACTTTTGGTAACTAGACTGAGTTAACAACAACAGCAGCAAACTCAGAGGACCGTCAATCCCAGCCGTTCATTCTTTCCTGGCAGTGACGCGCACCGGCCGTTAACTGAATCTGCACCTTCAGTTTCAGGTGTCGATATATTTGGAGTGACTGGAGCTGCACCACCTGGCCTCCTTAGGGCCGCCGGCGAGCGCTTCTACGGCCAGCCTACAAACTCACCGTCCCTTCCTTCCCAGGCTTCATTATGAACCCCGTATTCCCTCCGCCGTCCGCTGAGCTCCAGGTACTGCAGCTTTCCCCCATTCAAGCAACAATATGGCCAGGCCAGTTTAGATCCTGTGCTTGTCAGGTCCAGTCCAGTGCAAGAGCAAGAGCAAGGGTTCAGCTCAGGATCTGTGTCTCTTCACCAATCTCCAACAATACACCGGTCCAGTCTACTTAATGAAATCCAGCAAGAAAAGAATCTGCCACAAAAAATAAATGTGACAGAGGAATTGAAGCATGTTGGCTTTTGCCCAAGGATCAAACAGAGCAGATTTGGTGCACTTTTCCCTATTCTTTTCTTCATGTCCAAAGATCAATATATGTGTGATAGCAAGGCTTAGGTTTATAGATTACCCATAGTATCCAGATCACTAGGAGACGGACTCAATCATCCAACTTTATAAATACATTTTGTCTAGGACTCTGATTTAACCGGCGATGCAAACACTGTTTTGAATCTGAAAGTACTTGCCCAAACAACAGCATGATGTACTCGACTTGCAAACTTATGCTAGGAGGATAGAAGCCCTCCATGCCTACACGTTAATAGACATATATGTTACCTAACTTGCCAAGACTCCTAATTAAGGCAGAGTAATAATATTTCCTAACTCACAGGACAACACGGTAGCATACATGATATGAGTCACAGAAGTGTGCTACTCAAACAAAATGTTCTTCCTCTTGATGCACACGCTTCTTCCTTCCTACTGTAAGTTGTGGTGCTTGCATCTTACAGCTTACCATGTAGTTGTAGTAGGGCAGTAAGCGAGACCTCCATGCAAGAGCCTCAAATTCTCCACAGGGCAGTTTACCACCACATCCTAAGATGATGTCCCGCAGATTGATCTTGGGGACATTCTCATCGGAATATGACTGCTGATGGTTGCAAAACAAGAAATATCTGTGTATCTTCACTAATCTCCAACAATACACCGGTGCATCTTCCCGCAAAAGAAGGTAGGTGCTGGCCAAACATAATGTGATTTATCTGTTTACTTTCTCTTACACATTCAAGAACTGTGCGCCAGAATCGAGCATTGAAGTTATGTTGCAGTAACTCAGCAACGATACGCGCGCTTGTGAAACACTGTGTCTGTTCCAAAGCAATCTCCATAGCCATAGTTGCCAGTTTTGGATGCTCCCCGGGGTTTATGCTCCCGAATGCAATTGACTTGAAAAAATGCCAATAAGCTTCTTGAGAGAGATAATCCAGTCGAAGTGCTTCCGTTGTTCCCAGATTCACAATTCTATCTGACCGACTAGTGATTATGATTTTGCTCTCACCGCAAGGTGTCATGCAGGTTGCGGAAGATTTCAGCCTTCTCGATGTTTCCTCGTTAATATCCTTGTCTGTTTCAATAATAATCAGCAACCTATTTTGAGAAGCACAATTCTGATGTCTGAATTTAATATTGTTATCTCTCAGGTCGACCACCCCTTCATCCTTGAGACTGCTTTCTGGAAAGAAGAGGATCATCGAGAAGCGATCACGCACACTCCCATCCCTACAGACATTCTCAACAAGAGTGCTCTTCCCTACTCTTATTGGGCCAACGATCGGAAGTACAGCCAAATCTGATGTAGCACCAGGACTAAGCAAGAAATTCAGGATCCACTGCCGCTCCGTTTGGCGACCAAACATGCAATTGTCCAAGAACAAGTATGTGCCGCAAGGTTGGCGGATCATCCGAGTATATAACTCCAAGAAGAAAAGAATCGCCTTCATACCATCCATGGTGTCTTCAAGGGTATCAACCATCTGTTGCAGCTCTTCTCGTATGTTCCTATTTGTGCCAATTAGCAGTGCTTCTCTGTTGCCTCTGCTGCTGCCGGTGCGAGAGAAACAAAGCCGTTTGGCTGGACTGGATTTCCAAAGCGCAGCCGATGAGTGGCTCACCTCCTCCTCGTCAAGGGCGGCTCGGAATCTCAAGGCATCAAGAACATAGTGTCCTCTGTACATTTCTTGCCTCAACATCTTGAGCTGACAGAGCATACCCTGATTGGTGATATCCCTCCCCTGGGCCTCCTCGACAACAATGTCGAAAAGGACATTGTTGATGTCAGGTTGCTGCTGGAAGTATTTGCTGATCAAAAAGGACATCGACCTGCCGACAAGGTCGCCTACGATTGCAGAGATGAGGATATCCATTGATTGGGTACTGCCGAACCTCCTCGACTCTGAGCTCGAGTGCTGCAATGGACAAGGGATAAAATTAGCAGTGAGTGGTACTAGTCATGGGGGTGTTGCTCAATTTCGACTAGAGACCCGGGCATGTGTTCTGGATGAAAGGTTAGAAGGTGGCTGACTATGTCAAGGTAGTGTGAGTCTTTGCCTGCCGTGTGAAATTGGGTTTTACTTAACGTGTTGTGTTGGAATTGCTACTTCCTTTTCTTTTATTTACTTGTAGGGTTAATTTTTTTGTGGAAATACTTATAGGGTTTATTTGGTACATGTCACTGCCAACTTCGTGCATTGAAAAATGCCACTGCAAAAAGTGAATCAAGAAAACTGCCATTGTAAGAAAAGGGTTAATTCGATATAGGCCACTGCCCCATTGGCATATTTTAAATTAGTTTATAAGTTGCATGTGGAGTGGTTTGGATAAGAGGATAGTTGGATGTTGATCCTGATTTTTAGAAATGTGTCTGAGATATTTAAGTTTCTTTTTGCCAACCAACTCACTCGAGTGCACATTTTTCTTTGGTTTTGGAGGTGTTGTGGCCATTACTTTTTCTAGCATGAAAGAGTACCTTTTTATTACATGAAAAAAAAGAAAATAGAGTTATACATCGATAGATGATGCACACAAGCATAATTTATTACATGTCTTTTCAAAAATAATATTAATTTATCACATGTCATGGTGTCACATCAGAACTAACTGGTACCCCCTTTTTCCTTTGAAGAATCTCTCTTTGACGTGCTATATTAATTTGTGTGGACTGTTCTACGAGGAGTGGTGGTTTAGTCAAAGAGCAGCAGTGACACACGGACGGGGTAGAAAAACCCTGCCGTTTCTTGACCGGCCTAGAGGGCTGGATTTTGGCCCATCGATCCCAGCCATTCATTTCTGCTTTGCTAGCTAGCACAGTGACCCGCACCGTCCGATTGACTGAATCTGTACCTTCAGTTTCAGGTGTTGATGTATTCAGAGTAGCCGGAGCTTGTTAGCTGTTCCAAACCTAACTGAATTCAGTTTCAGTTTCGGTTCCTAGTAGTTTCAGTTTTTGTTCCAGGTTTAGTTCTGAATACTCCAGTGCATAGTGTTGATCAAGTAGCATATTTGGAGAGAGAAAGTTTATCAGATTATCATATTTCATTTCACAAAGGTGTCTGAACTACCACAGTCACCAATGACATTCAGCTTCTCCAAAAACTTGCAGACAGTATGGTGGGCCAACCTCGACCCAGCAAGAAAATAATCTGTCAGAGGGATTGAAACTTATTTTCTTTCGCCAAGGATCAAACACACGCACACTTGAGAAACAGAGCAAATTTAGGGCACTTTTCTCATCATGATCAAGGGCTATTTTAAGGCTTAGATTTATTTAGTACCCTCACAGGTCAATAGGATACATACAGACTCAGATACTCAAATTTATAAATGCAACATGTTTGGACTCTATTTTATCAGACATGCAAACATCGCCTCGACTCTGAATGTACTTACCTGAACACAAGCATAACATACTCGACATGCAAACACTTGTACTACTAGGATACAGCGACTCCATGCCTAGAGCCTGCACACTAACAGACATATGTGTTTAAACTTGGCAAGACTTCTAAAGTCAGTGTAATAACATTTCCCAATTTGCAGGAAAAGGCAGTAACATACATGACGTGTGTGGCAGACTTTCAAATAAAATGTTGTTCCTCTTGATGCACGCGCCTCTTCCTTCCCACTGTAAGTCGTGGTGCTTGCATCTTACAGCTTACCATGTAGTTGTAGTAGGGCGGTATGCTAGACCTCCATGAAAGAGCCTCAAATTCTCCATAGGGTAGTGTACCACCACGTCCTAGGAGAATGTCCTGCACACTGATCTTTGGAACACTCTCGGTGGAATCTGACTGATGATAGTTGCAAACCAAGAAATATCTGCGGCTCTTCTCCAAGGTCCAATAGTACACAAGTATGGGTGCTGGTCAAACAAAAGGAGATTTGTCCGTTTATATGCTCTTACACATTCAAGAATTGTGCGCCAAAATCGAGCATTGATGTTAGCTCGCAGTATCCCAGCAACGATATGTGCGCTTGTGAAATCCTGTCTCTGTTCCAAAGCAATCTCCATGGCCATTGTTGCCAGTTTTGGCTGTTCATCAGGGTTTGTGCTTCCGAATGCAAGCGACTTGAAAAAATGCCAGTAAGGCATCGAGAACGTAGTGGCCTCTGTACATTCCTTGCCGCAACATCTTGAGCTGACGGAGCATCCCCTGGTTGGTGATGTGCCGCGCCTCGGCCTCCTCGACGATGATGTTGATTCTCAGTAGGACACTCTGTAGCCTCTGGAGAATCTTGCCGATGCCAGGCTGCTGCTGGAAGTATTTGCTGATCACAAATGACGCTGACCTACTGACGAGGTCACCTAGTATTGCAGAGACGAGGATATCCATTGATAGCGAACCTCCTCGTCTCAGAGCTTGAGCGGTGCAATGGACGAGGGATAAAATTAGCAATGAGTACTGGATGGAATATTATCAATGAGGAATATCTATGTGGGCGTCAAGTAATGGGCGTGTTCTGTATGAGATATTAGAAGTGAGGCAGTGGGGCTAGCGCTGGATGGATCAGCATGCAATACATATATGATGTGATGTGGTGGTGCCTTACCAATTTCTGAGTGGGTCTTTGCCTGCCTTGTGGAATTGAGTCTGACTTGTCGAATTTCTCCTTTGAATATAGTTATAACTTGGACTTAATTTCAGTAGACTGTTCTACAAGGAGTGGTGGTTTGTAAAAAACCGTGGCCTAGTCAAAAACTACCAGTGAGACAAGGAGTGCTTTTCGCTGAATGGAGGGTTGAATTTTGACAAAAGAGTGAAAAGTGAATGGCAAGGCAGTCTAGAAGGCTTTTTGGTGTTTGGATCCAGGAATAATTGAATTTTTTTTGCTTTCTATGTACAATGTCGGAAAGCACCCGTGTTTCTTCAGAGGAGAGATGTGACCGAAATATTGCCGATACCAGTTCTTTTTTTTTACCACGGCTAGCGGTATTTTTGTGTCACTCATACCACACTTAGCAGTAACTTGGTTATTAAACTGAATTAACAACGAGAGAAGCCATTCATTCTTGCTTTGCTAGCAGTGACGCGCACCATCCGTTAACTGAATCTCTACCTTCAGTTTCAGGTCTCGATGTATTCAGAGTAGTTGGAGCTCATCCTTCGCAGACCTCCGCGCTTACTGCTGCCAGCATGGCCTCCCCCAGGAGCCACCGGCTGGCCACTGGCCTTGCTGTCGTCCCCTGAGTTCCAGGTACTGCAGCTTTGTTCTCCCCATTCAAGCAACAGTGTGGTCAGGCCGTGGTCGATGTCAAGTCGGGGATGGCCGGTGTCGAGGTAGTCGCCGTGGAGCCGCGGGTGCAAGGCGCCGTGTTAGTCATTGGTGCAGTGGTGCACTGGGAAGAAGACGGCGTTGACGAGGCGACGCGCCGGGTTTGCCAAGCCTGGGGACACCTCGCCGCCCCTTTGCTCCAGGTACGGCAGCTCCCCCCGCCTCCCACGACACATTCAAACAGCATGGGGTCCAGTTCTTCCCGTTCTTTCAGGAACAGCCATTGGGTTCTTTCACTGACAGTTGCATTCTGCTGGTAGCTCTGTATGTTGTTCACTGCTGTGTTCAATATATTCAGGCAAAACTTGAAGTGTACCAGCAGCATTTACAATTGTTCTAAAAGTTTCTGACAAACTCGCGCGCCTTCTCCACCAGTTCTTAACTTCTGATCAATGCACACTCATTATATCCACACATAATTCGTTATGTTGTTCTAGTAATTTCTGATAAGATCACAGTTCGCGACCAGTTTCTACATGGCCACACATTTCTCACAAACTTCTTGGTGATTAGTTAGGCGCAAAGAGAATTGCAACTGTTTGTACAGTTCGTCCAGGGGATATAGCCAATTTGGAATTATCAGGATAGCAATATTAGCATTGCAGAATCCTCTGAGGAGGTCCACAGGTAACTGCGACTTGGAGATTTTTAATATTTTTAGACTGTCTATAAGTTTCATTGAGCATTAGAGAAGTTGGTATGTAGTTTGCTTATACCCCATTTATGGCCTTTGTCTGTTGCTACTCGAACTAGAACACGGGTTGCAAAACTCAATCTAGTTTTTCCCTTCTCCCCATTGATTTATTTTTCTCCGAGTCAAAAGGTAGAGAATGCAGCACAGTTCATGGGATGATAGACAAGAAACCAACAACTTATTTTTTTTTATCTTTATATTGTCATCTCCTCACCGCCCTGCACTCCAGGTAATGTCGCTACCCCAGTTCCAGCTAATCTTTCTGATATTTGAACCCAACAATAAAATAATTTGTCACGGAAAATACAGGTGACAAGGAATTGAATCTTGTTGGCTTTCACCCAAGGATCAAACTCACACATGCGAAACAGAACAAGTTTGGGGCACTTTTCCTCTTATCTTTTCTCCACGTTCAATAGGATATGGACTTGAGTACTCAACTTTATAAATATAACTTGGACTCTAATTTTACCGTGAATGCAAACATTGCTTTGACTCTGAAAGTTACTTACCCAACTTATTTTTTTATCTTTATATTGTCATCTCCTCACCGCCCTGCACTCCAGGTAATGTCCTACTCCAGTTCCAGCTAATCTTTCTGATCTTTGAACCAAACAAGAAAATAATTTGTCATGGAAAATACTTGTGACAAGGAATTGAATCTTGTTTGCTTTCGCCCAAGGATCAAACTCACACATAGTAGCAAGTTTGGGGCACTTTTGCTCGTATCTTTTCTCCACGTTCAAGGATTATTACAAGGCTTAGGTTTACATAGCACACATAGTATCGAGATCAATAGGATATGGACTTCAGTACTCAACTTTATAAATACAACTTGTCTTGGACTTTACTTTTAACTGTGAATGCATACATTGCCTTGACTCTGAAAGTTACTTACCCAAACACAGACATGCAAACACTTGTATTACTAGGATACAACGACTCCATGCCTAGTCCCTGCTAAGAGACATAACTTGGCAGGACTCCCAAAGAGTAAATGCAATATAATAATATTTCCTAATCCGCAAGACAAGGCTGTAGCATACATGATGTGAGCCACAGACAACACATTACTCAAATTAAACGTTCTTCCTCCTGATGCGCACGCTTCTTCCCTCCCACTGTAAGATGTGGTTCTTGTGTCTTAAAGCTTATTGTGTAGTTGTAGTAGGGAGGTATGCGAGACCTCCATGCAAGAGCCTCAAATTCTTCACAGGGTAATGTATCATCACATCCTAAAATAATGTCCTGCACACTGATCTTAGGGACATCCTCAGTGGAATCTGACTGATGATAGTTGCAAATCAAGAAATGTTTGCGGCTCTTGTCTGTTCTTCGACTGTACACCGGTTCATCTTCCCGCAAAAGAAGCATTGGGTGCTGTTCAAGCATAAGGAGATTTATCTGTATAGATGCTCTCGTACGTTCAAGAGTTGTGCGCCAAAATCGAGGATTAAAGTTATCTTGCAGTATCCCAGCAATGATACGCGCGCCTGTGAAACTCTGCCTCTGCTCCAAAGCCATCTCCATGGCCATCTTTGCCATTTTTGGCTGCTCATCTGGGTTTGTGCTTCCGAATGCAAGCGACTTGAAAAAATGCCAATAAGCTTCTTGCGGGAGATAGTCCAGTCGAAGTGCTTCTGTTGTTCCCAGACTCACAATTCTATTTGACCGACTGGTGATTACAATTTTGCTCCCACCTGGTGCCATGCTGCTTGCGGAAGATTTCAACCTTCTCCATGTTCCCTCATTAATATCCTCAGCTAGTTCAACAATAATCAGCAACCTGTTTTGAGAAGCAGAATTTTGATGTCTGACTAGACCACTAATATTGTTTCCTTTCAGGTCAACAAGTCCTTCATCCTTGAGACTACCTTCTGCAAAGAACAAGATCATCGAGAAGTGACCACGCACACTCTCATCCCTACAGACATACTCAACAAGGGTGCTCTTCCCTACCCTTCTTGGACCGATGATCGGAAGTACAGCCAAGTCTGGTGTAACACTGGGACAGAGCAAGAAATTCAGGACCCATTCCTGTTCAGTTTGGCGACCAAACATGCAGTTGTCCAAGAGCAAATATGTGCCGTAAGGTTGGCGAAGTATCCGAGGATACAATTCCAAGAAGAAAAGAAACTCCTTCATACCAGCCACGGTGTCTTCAAGGGTATCAACCATCTGTTGCAGCTCTTCTCGCATGTTGCTGTTTGTGCCAAACAACAATGCTTCTCTGTTGCTGCTGCCACTGCCGGTCCGAGAGAAACGGAGCCGTTTGGCTGCACTGGATTTAGAGAGCGCAGATGATGAGTGGCTTACCTTCTCCTCGTCGAGGGCCGCTTGGAATCTCAAGGCATCGAGAACATAGTGACCTTTGTACATCCCTTGCCTCAACATCTTGAGCTGACGGAGCATCCCCTGGTTGGTGATGTCCCGCGCCTCGGCCTCCTCGACGACGATGTCGATTCTCAGTACAACACTCTGTAGCCTTTGGACAATCTTGTTGATGTCAGGCTGCTGCTGGAAGTATTTGCTGATCACGAATGATGCAGACCTGCTGATGAGGTCGCCTACGATTGCAGAGATGAGGATATCCATTGATCGCGAACCACCTAGACTCAGAGCTCGAGTGGCGCAATGGAAGAGGGATAAATTAGCAATGAGTGACAGTAGCTATTTTGGACTCGAGACCCAGCCACCCGGGTAGGTGTTCTGGATGGAAGATTTCCAGATTAACTATGGCAAAGTAGTGTGAGGCACTGAGGCCACTGCTGGATATATATGTGTTGGTGGTGCCCTGCTAATTTTGGAGTGAGTCTTGGGCTGCCATGTGGAATTGAGTCGTTGAACTACGTACTTCTGTTTGCTTCCTTTAAATTTATCATCTTATTTTATTTCTCCTTGCATCTACATCTAGTCTCCTATCAGAACTAGCTAACTGGTGCCCTTTTTCCTTGTAGAAATTTCTCCTTGACGTGTTATATAAGTTGGACTTAATTTGGGTATACTCAGTGGCGGTGCCAGGATCCAAATCTTGTGTTGTCAAGCTTTGAAACATTTTGTAGGTAAATTAAACAGGAACACAAAAAGATCATACTTTATTTGATACATATTTGCTGTAGCAGCCTTTTTTTATCATATATATTTTATCTTAAACATGTTTTCTGATATAAAAAATCTTAAACATTTTTATAGTAACAACGCTTTGACAAATTACCAAACTTAAGACCTAGCAAATGACAAAACAAGGTTTTGCTGAAAGAAACAAGATCTGGATTTCGTATGAGAATAGAAAATTTCAAGAGAAAGAAGACAGAGGCTTACAAACAGAAAAGGAAGGGCCTCGTCCTATACACTCGCCGGTCGCCG